ACGCCTAGTGATGCGTTTCGTAAGGTCTCACCTCACATTCGCAAAGACAATTTTTTTGTGTGGTTCCTAATTAATATCCACTAGTGGTGAGGTGGTAAGTGACATGACTGAATGACATAATGATAATGAATATGTCATTCATCCATGTCACCTACCACCTCACCACTAGAGGATATAATCTGGTGCTACACAGAAGTTTTTTTGGGGGGGGGCTGTCCATCTTCAATGTATACAGGAGCCATAGAGAACACAACATGGATCTCTCTGCGATCTTTGAAATAGCAGTCACTACTCCTACTATCATCTCTGGTGACTTTAAAGCTCATAGTGAATTACTACTTGATTCACCAAGACCCGACACCAACGGAAGACATATTGAACACCTTTTGGATGAAGTGCCTGAAATCAGTCTGCTTAACTCGATGGAACCAACCCACATTGGTGGAGGATAAGCTGGATCTCACGTTTGTCTCCACCAGTATTTATGAGTTGTGTCATTGGTCAGTTGACCATGTACTGACTAGTGACAACTTTGATACAAAAACAGTTATTAATATAGCACTACCTCCTAGACCTCCAGCTCCCGAGCCCGGATGGGACTTTATCAAAGCAGATTGGACGAAGTTTCAGGAATCTTTCGAAACTTGGCACCAAAACTACACTCCTCCTGACAACACCGAAGAAATGGAAAAAGATTTAGTAAATGCAATACATAGAGCAGCGAATCACGCCATCCCCAAGAGGAAAACAATTACCCAACAACACAAGGACCATTGGTATTACTGTGATAGGATCAAAGAGCAACATAACAGACTAAATTTTGCATGAAAGAATTTCAGAAAAGATAGAACCGAAGCTAATCTAGGACTTCTTAGAGCTGTCCGAGATCATGTGCACGAAGAAACAGCAAAAATCAGAGAAGAAAAATGGCTCTTGGAATAGTGCAATTATAGTTCCCATTTCAAAACCCAAAGTCACAGGTAATCCAAGACCCTATCTTATTAACAAGCTGTCTGGCCAAAACAGCAGAAAGAATGGTTCTTACTCGAACTGAACTGGAAAACCATTCCACTGCACAAAAATATGTTTGCTTACATAAAAATTGTTGGAACCTCAGATTGCTTTACTTCCCTCCTGGATCAAATCAATGACAAACCAGGAATCCTTTTTTTTCTGGACCTAGAAAAAGCCTACGAGCTAGCCAATGCTCCAGCTACACTGTGCTGCTTAGTGGATAAGGAAATCAAAGAGATAAGGAAATCTCTTGCCTCTGTCAAAGGAAGTCTGCTTAACAGAGAAGCCAAAGTCAAATTTCAAGGGAAAACGTTCTCCTCAAAGAGGCTGGAAAAAGTGTCTCTGCAGGGATGGTTACTACACCCCTGCCTCTTAAACTATACCATGGAACAATTCATGAAGCTAAAGTTACCTAGAGCCAAACTGCTTAACTATGTAGACGACTTTGTGGTCATGATCAATGGCAATGGAGCCAGGAATCATGCACAAAAATGCCTAGACATCATCAGCAAGGATACACTTACATCGCATCAGGCTTGGATACCCACGTGCATGGGAAATAGGCTTACAGGTTCCGGAAGATGAGAGGAAATATCAGCACTGTGGAGAAATGCCTGACAAACCACTGGAACTTTATCTAACAGAGTGCCAAGTTACAAACCCCTTAAGATTTCAATTTAGATTCAACAGAGCAGAAGAAGTTGTTAAACATATGGGATAAAATCTTACTGGAGCGACCATACGAGTCATAAATACTCATACTCCGCCCAAGTAAAACAGAAACAAGCAACACTCGGTGGGCCAGCCATAGGCTTAGGGCACGCGCAGGAATATACCTGAAAAAAACAGGGAAGCAGTACGCATAGCAGTGAAAATAAACAGCAATAAAACCAAGGCAATGGCCGTTAAAATGAGAACTCAAGACATCAGACTCGCAATACAAGGACAAGAAATTGAGTGGGTTACCTCTTTTCAATACCTTGGAGTCATAATGGACAGCCAGTTGAAATTCATTCAAGAAATAGAGTATCATTGCCAACGTTGCAAAGCCAGAAACTGAGTTTTGCGCTCCCTGAGAGGTCTTAGGGATCGTGCAACTCTGCCAGTACTCAAAATGTACTACGTTCAAGATGTTAGGTTATTCATTGACTATGCTACTTCTTCTTCCCATCCCTTAGTGGTAATCAATGGGAGAAACTCGAAGTGTCACAAAATTATTCCTTCAGAACAATGCTGGGAGCGCTTATGTGGACGCGACGAGAGAATCTAAGAATGGAAACCAACTTGCCAACCTTAGAAAACAAGATCTAACAAAGAATAGCCACCATAGCAGCAAAACTTGTTGATACCACCACTAGACTGTCGATCAAAGATAGCTAACACAAATAGCATCAAAGAAACCTTCAATATAGAACAAGCGCATGAACGGATAATCTAATCAAGATTCTAGAGGAAGTGGACTTGAAACGGATTATTAGAAACAAATGAGACAGTAGTCCATATCAACACTTTCGGCAGCCTCTTCCATGGGAAGATTCGTGTCTAAAGATAATCATTGAAGAATTACCAGTTAAAAAATCAGCATGTAACTCGCAGAGGCTCAAACCAATCGTAGAACAACAAATGGAAACCATCTTAGGACACTCACTCAAACCTTCACAGATGGATCAGTTAATCAAGAAAGAGGTTCTGCTGGGGGAGCGGTTTACACCAACAACCACGAAGCTTACTGGAGCATGAATAATGGGTGTTCAACATTGCAAACAGAATTGTATGCCTGAACTCTACCTGTTGTACAGGTTCGAATACCTCCAAGTTTTTCACAGATTAAGAAGAAAATCAAGAAGAAAATACACCCAACTATCAAAATTCGCCACAGAGCCAAAGTAGCGGAAGGAAGATCCACTGCGATATGGTACGAACAAGCCACAGGGTACTACTCTTTCAAGCCTGACAAAAAGATATCCAGAGACATTGCAGTAGCCATACATAGCCTCAGACTTAGTTACAAATACTGCTGGGAGGTAATAAACCCAATAGTTAAAAAGAGAGTCATATCTGTGGAGCAGAAGCAGAGGCGCCACTATTGCACTACTTACTGGAGTGTGAAGCTACTGAAGTCCTGCGCATCAGACTCAACATTAATCCAACGACAGCAGCTGCATTAAATGCACATTCCACAGCGACTATAATAATTAGAAAAGCCGTTGAGGAAGGGGACTCACTAGTGAGCATTATGCATCTCCATCCGCCACCAAGATAATGTTATTAAAACAAGACTAAAACCAGTGCACTAAAACAGAAGCGAAAAAGAAACAGGGAAAAAGGAGGAATCCACACCTCCATTGAAAACTTTGACCCAAATACCACAGTAACAAGGTTATCGCAAATAACCGAACTAAATTACGGGTTCACCATATCCCGTGCTACATGGACATTTCATTCTGAGTAGCTAAATCTAAAACAACAACAGAAGAATTTGTCTTTGAGAATGTGAGGTGAGACCTTACGAAACGCATCACTACACGTCGAGACACAAATAATAAGTAAAAATGAACTTCGGAGAGTTAAATTTTTAATCTTTCTGCTTCAGTGAAGAAAATATAAACAATATCGAAAAGATTCGTGGTAGAATCATAAATGTAAAACTTTCTGTCGTTTTCAACGAAATATGTTTAAAAGAAAGACTGCTACCAATATATATATATATATATATATATATATATATATATATATATATATATATATATATATATATATATATATATATATATATATATATATTATATTTCTGGTTGCTAAACTTAAGCTTTCGTTGGGAGGTTCCGATATAGTTATTAGTTATTCCGTTAAGTTTCATAACTCTATTTGTCAGTATTGCTTGGTATGTGGTTCAGCATTTTGTGAAGCCTTTTTTTTAATAAACTAGTATTGAGGCTGGATTCTCATGAGCTCAAGAATATTTTAGGATCTTTCACATTCTACTAGATTTTCCATTAATAGTTTTTCCTTAGTTCTGTTGGTGTAAATCAATAAATTTACATACAAAGAAACATATAAAGATGTTTAATTGTATAGTGAAATTTAATTTTAAGTTGGAGAAAAGGCACTTTGTTAACAACATGAATGATTGATACACTTTGTAAACAGCTTGAAGGGACCTTTGTAGCTAACAGGATGGAACGATTTTAGTTCAAAAGTGGTGTGGTATTTATAAACTAGCCGAGTCGCCGTCGTCTTATGTAAACAAGGAGTATACGTGATCTTTTTAGTGAATAAATTAAGAAATTATAAATATATGGGAAGGACTTTTTTTCTTGAGGCAGAACAAAACATCAGAGGTGGAATGACTTCATTTAAAGAAAGACTTTTTACAAAATGTCGTAAATGTTGATGTATTACATAAGGACTCCATGACTGTCTAGACTTTAAATGATGCATGAATTAAAGATTCCATGACTTTCTACACCTGGATTGATGAATGACTTTAAGGACTCTATGACTGTGAACACTTGGAACTGATGCATGATTTAAGAACCCCATAACTGTGAACACTTGGAACTGATGCATGACTTAAGGATCCCATGTCTGTGAACACTTGGAACTGATGCATGACTTAAGGACCCCATGACTGTGAACACTTGGAACTGATGCATGACTTAAGGACCCCATGACTGTGAACACTTGGAACTGATGCATGACTTAAGGACCCCATGACTGTGAACACTTGGAACTGATGCATGACTTAAAGACCCCATAACTGTGAACACTTGGAAGTGATGCATGACTTAAGGATCCCCATGACTGTGAACACTTGGAACTGATGCATGACTTAAGGACCCCATGACTGTGAACACTTTGATACAGGGGGTTAAAGACACAGAATGATGCGCTACACACGGATCATGTGTAGCAACAGCGGCTGGCATCTCCTTTCCTCGCCTGCTCCGTCAACTCGGGTAATAAAGACAATGAGATTTCAATCACTCGATCAAAACTGGACTTTATTTGAAAACAATCGATCATCAACAGCAACATAACCACTAGAACTAGAGTTTTGTCGTATTTTTCTGTCTTTTGTTATTGCACTTGGGAGTCTGGAGGATCACTTGATTGGCAGTGAGGATCACTTGATTGGTAGTGAGGATCACTTGATTGGTATTGAGGATCACTTGATTGGTAGTGAGGATCACTTGATTGGCAGTGCGGATCACTTGATTGGTAGTAATTTTGCGCACCTCTCACGGTCTCAGCACCATGGTCCTGCCTTGAGCACCGCCCACTTCTGTAGTGAGAGCCGCCCACTTCTGTAGTGAGAGCCGCCCACTTCTGTAGTGAGAGCCGCCCACTTCTGTAGTGAGAGCCGCCCACTGCTGTAGTGAGAGCCGCCCACTGCTGTAGTGAGAGCCGCCCACTGCTGTAGTGAGAGCCGCCCACTGCTGTAGTGAGAGCCGCCCACTGCTGTAGTGAGAGCCGCCCACTGCTGTAGTGAGTGGGATTCTAGACTAACAGCGTGTTGTGAGGTGGATTTGGGCTTTGGTGATTTGCTGGGGGTGACGGTAGAAGGTGGAGAGATTAATATTTATATATATACATACATACATATACATATACTGTATGTATATATATTTTTTTAGGCGTCCTCGGCCGCCGGTGCGTCGTCACCGCCGCCTGCAGTCAGCATCTGGATGATACTCTGTACGTCGATCTTTCCCGCGTCGTCGACGTCCATGGCGTCGAGTGCGTCGTCAGCCTCCTGGGACGAGTACTTGTCGCCCCACGTCATGAGGGCGTGACGGAAGACGTCACAATCGATGAGCCCCTCGTCGTCGGCGAAGGCCAGGAAGGCCTTGGCCACCACGTCGTCGTCGTCCGACTCGCCCGTCTGGCGCTCGGCGAACATGTTGAGCAGCATGGTGAAGTTTATGGGCGCGGGGGCGTCGGCCAGCATCTCGTCCAGCTCCTGGTCGGTGGCGATGCGGCCGATCTCGTCGAAGGTGGCGCGGAGGTCGGTCTTGCCGATGATGCCGTCCTTGTCGCGGTCCATCAGTTGGAATCCCTCCTTGAACTCGGCCACCTGCCGCTGCGTGAACATGTCAAACACATTGCTTCCTCCTCCGGATTTCTTGGATCTCTTGGAGGAGGAGCGGGAGCCTGACTTGCGGGACATGGTTGCGGCAGGCTTGCGGCAGGCTGCGGATGTGGACGGCGGGAGGCAGCCAGTCACCCAGCTATATACCCTCTGCTCGCCGGCGCCAATATTAATATTGCGGCTATATTAGGGTGGTGGGTCGGCGCCCGCCCTCTGCCCGCCCCCTAAAACCTGACCCACCCTCCCCTTGCTGCCCGTTTTGTGAGGGGTAGGGGAGGGGGCACTGTCTACCCCCCTCTTCCCTCCGCTTCGTGCCCGATGCCAAGGGTGCCAGACGCCCCGCCCCTACCCCCGCCCGACCACCCCTGATCACTTGTCGCCACCCAAGCCAGGCTCCGCCCACACACACACACCCACCCCACACACACACACACAACCGCTACAATCGCCACAAGCACACTCACGCATACCATAGCTCCCGGGCACCGGTTCCGTCACTGCTGTACATGTGCGCTTGTGATCATCAACCCCCCCCCCCCCCCCATCTGTACCTCGACACACGCCTCATCTCAAGTTCGTACGGGTCTATATCAACATAACTCGGACTGGGAACCTATTACAAATGCCGCCCGTAACTCATACGACTTCGACACGTGAAGTGTTATCAGCGTATCGCTTTAGTATCCCTCACGTCATCTCTTCCTTTAGACATAAAAGTAAACATGACATTTAAAGAAGTGGAACAACAGTTTAAAAACGTTTACTGTTTGGCAACGGAAATAAGCCCCAATTGTCTTCCTGTTGACGGACACATTTGGGGCTGTCTACTCCGGCCTTGTTCTCAGACACTAGCAAGCATTTATTTATATTTATTTATATACATGAAGATGATATGGGTTACAGAATGATATATTTTTAGTGATTAAGTGATACATTCTTGCAAAGCCAGAAACACGCTTAGCGGTGCCGCTCTTTTCACTGTTTGTTATTTTTGTTACATAGTCTTCCCGGCTTGGTGCCTTCTATGATAATTACTAACTTACTTGTTGTTGTTTCACATTTATCTACTCGAAACACAAAGTTGTAAGTAGCACGGGCTATGGTGAGCCCATAGTGGGTTTATCTGGCACAGGAGCGAGGCTGTAACTGATGTCTTCTCACTAGATTGATAAATAAAGATAAGCCTCCCAAAAGGGGGCACGTGCATGAATAGCCCAAAAGTGGAGGTTCTTTGGAACCATTACCAATAACTGATACTGGAGATCTGTGGATGGATTTTTTTTTGAGGGGGGGTTATCTTTTGTCTCGGAGAGCAAGCTGTATCAACTATAGAGCTGGTGAGTTACAAAAGGTCTCTAGTTCTTCGTTTTTTCCTTAGTCTGAGTCTTGCTGCGAGTTGAGATGGCTGAGCTGTCATTGGAGTTGGGTGATATGGCCGCCATGAGGAGATCTTGTAGGGAGTAGGGAAAGTGTTGCGGCGATGGAGTTCTTACTGAGATTTCCTCGTGTGAGGAGTCCGTGGCGTAGTCCGTTGTTGATGCTTTTGGTCTCACAGCCTGAGGTTGAGGTTGGCTCTGGAGCCGATGAGTTGTGGTATGTTACGGACCCGAGTCCATCGTCGGAGCACGGAGCAGTGACGACAACGCCATCTGTGAGTCCGCTCCAGAAAACCCCACAACATGGACAACGCCATCTAGTGGTGACAGGATATGCCGGCAACAGGCGCTAGATTCCTGTCCTAGTCGGCTCGCGAAGTAGCCGCTGCTGACCTCTGGCGAGGTGGCGCTAAGACAGTGAACGCCATCTATGGAGCGAAGGGGTGGACGTTTGTGTCTAAGCTAGTAAGTGATGTTTCCTAGTGTCCCCAGTACTGATGACGTGTCTGTTTTCAGAGTCAACCTAGGACGATTGTGAGGTACGTTGAATCAGTCTACCCAAGGCAGCCAAGGTCTCTTCACCAGTCTGCTTTGTAGAAGCTGTGAGCCACCCCCAGACGAACTCTGCTGAGTGTATGATTGCCTGCCTGAGGAGTGGCAGTAACGGGATTCGCCATATCCGGGGCTGGCTGGTGGAAGAGACCACCCACTGAGGTGACGACCGAGGAGGGTGACCAGCGAGTCACACGAGGCTCCTGCCTAGGGCTCGCAACCCTAGTATTAGTCGAAGAGTGGCCTGATAGCGAAGCTGACTAGTACCTGCCTGCTACAGGCTAGACCGTGGTTGTAGGCCATCACGACGAGGCACCCAGTGGGATTAGGATTTGGCTGGCCTGTGGCTAGGGTGGATTCACCGTGGGTTCTGGGCCATGGAGGAGGAGACCAGGAAACGCTACCCAGAGGAAGCGTCGCCGAGTGTCCAGTGTCTTTGGAAGAAGACGAAGTTGTATATAATTGTGTAGTAATAATTCCCGTGTGTGACTTTTTACATATGGTGGTGGGAATATGAATATATATATATATATATATATATATATATATATATATATATATATATATATATATATATATATATATATATATATATATATATAAGGGAATATTCATATAAATTAGATCACTTGTGTATTTGTGTGCCTCCCCCATTGTTTTAACTTGCGTTACGGAACACACCCCTTGAAAACCTCTACTAACTTGGGGCCGGATACCCAAACTCTAATACCATCAGAGAAGAACCCGGTTGCGTCCCAGTAGGGCCGTAACATGGTAGAAGCTGGTTCGGTCACGTCGGTGGTGTTAGTGGTCGGAGAAAGCACGTGTGCGAGCGCCTCTACTGAGATGGTGATGGTGGCAACTTTTGGGGCTGGATTGGAGGATGCTGCTGTTTGAGCAGCTTGGGTCTATGGCAGATCTAAAATCTGAGTTGAGATTGACCTAGTGGTCGACCTTGTGGAAGTCCCCTGTGTGGTAGGGGAGGTAGTGAGGCTTATATCAGGGGCTGTGATGGGGTCCAGGCCATTGGCTAGGTACAGCACATTCAGTTCCGTGACGAATCGGTGGTTGTCTGGTTCCGGCAAGCCACTCTTAGTCGTATAGGACCAGGGATAATGCCTGCACGTGATGCAAGAGGCGGCAAGGGTGCTGAATGGGCCTTGGGTCCCCAATGTGAAGGCTAGATCGACTGGTGGGAGGAAACACTGTTTGGTAAGACTGGGAAGTCTTCTGGTTGGTTGGTGGGAGCTGAGGTGATAGTATAGCGTCAGGGGCTCTGATGGCGAAGTTAGGAGGGTTGACTTTCTGGGCTTCAACCTGGGCCTTCATTTTTTTCCTGTCTGCGGGGGCAGCAGTGTGAAACTGCAGGGTGATCGCCGTTGCAGAGCAGGCAGCGATGGGTTGTTGATTTACAGATGGAGTAATGATGGTCAAGGCTGCAGAGGCTGCACTTCTGGATGGGGTGCTGACACTTGTTAGTGGAGTGGGAGAGCTCATAGCACTTGAAGCACTGTTGGACCGCGTGATATCGTTCTTTTTTCATTTAGTGAGGTAGTATCTTGATGCCAAAGCAGTAGAAGCCTTGTATGGCAGCCTGGGTGGCCATAGCTGCTGAGGTGAGAATAATCTTCATTGTTGCTTTATCGTCACTGCTGAACACAATGGTGAACACGCCTATGTTCGGGTTTTCGAACTCGATATTTGTATTGATTCTCACTTTTTGTTCGGTCTGGATCTCCGATCCATAGGCTGGTCCTGCTGATAAAAACGGATCTTTCGGCTAGGAAGTAAGTGGATAGTTGAGATAGAGGTGGTGCTCCAAGCGAAGTGGGAAATCGCAGCCTAGGAAATTTTTCTAGGTCCTCCATACTTGTAAAAAAAGAGCGTGATATCCTCACCTTCCTAACTAATGTCAGTGGGTGTGATAGCGGCTCCGTCCTTGAGGATCTTTAGAATGTCGTTTTTTTCCCAAAAGCATGACCGTTTAGGGGGGGTTTGCCCTAACTTTTACATGTTTGGGTCGCATTGTGTCCTGTGTGCGACTCTGCGGGTCGCAGTGGGTATTGATGTTTTGTGAGAAGGTTTCAGGCTCAGGTACTCCACCGGGCAGTGCTCATTTCATGCTTCTCATTAGATTAGTGCACAGTTATATAAGGATTTTGATGATGATTGATGAAGATTAAGCCACCCAAGAGGAGGCACGGGCATGAATAGCCCGTAATAAGGAGAATAGCCCGTAATAAGGAGAATAGCCCGTAATAAGGAGAATAGCCTGTCATAAGAAGAAGCATGAAATATACTTAGCATGAATAAGGAGTCTCAATGAAATATACTTATATAATGGTTGTAAAATCCATCTCCTTCGCTTTTAGTGTTTAAAAGGGAAAAATTAACGCCACACCAAACTGGGGAGCAGATTATTATTGTATATGACTGATCCAGGTTCTTCTCTTTATAAGGAGTTCAAGTCGAAATGGCTATTAGAGTTCAACAGCAGCAAGTGTAAAGTGATGGAAATGGGAACGTGTGCCACAGACAGAAAAACGGTACACAGTGAAGGGAAACTATAGCTCACTGTAACGATTAAAGACAAAGACCTCGGAGTGGAGTGATCAAGCCATCCTCCCGAGACACACATAAACAGGATAACATCAGCATCATATTCTACAATATCAGAACGTAGTTTAGGAACTTAAATAAGGAGATATCTACATCACTGTACACTGCTTATGTACGATTAGTCTTAGAGTATGCTGCCCAATCGTGGAATTCCAATCTTTTAAAAACATACAAGAAAACTAGAAAAAGTTCAGAGGCTGGTAATGATTCTCATCCAAGCATTGTGAGGAATGTGATATAAAGGAAAATTGAAAAAAAACTAGATCTGACGTCACTGGAGAAAAATATACGTATGACATGACAGAAACCTATTAACTACTTTTTTTTTTGGGGGGGGGGGGCGCTGACAAAATTAAAAAATATAACATACTCAAAAGATTAATGCCAGTAGCACGAGAGGACATGGTTGGAAGCTTGAGAAGCAGAAGAGTCATAAAGATGTTAGTTTTCTTTCGGCGTAAGAGTAGTGAAGAAAGACAGGGTCCAAGAGCACATGCAGATGGGTATATTCACACACACACACACACACACACACACACACACACACACACACACACACACACACACACACACACACACATATATAAATGCACAAT